AAGTTCTGAGAGGCAATCAAGGTCTGTGTCAATAACCTGTGTAATTTGGTGAGTCTCTTGGCCAAGTTGTCCAAAAGCTTGAAGGCAGGTTTCTCCTGTTTGGCACTGTTTTCTTGTTATATAGCCATCGGCTATACACATGGACACATGTAGCCATATTGTATGTATAATTTTTCATTAGGATTTTGAACTAATATATTTGCCTCTGATACTCCCGTTGGAGTATTTTATCCATTTCCTCCTTGGTAACACCCGTTCCCTACTGTTCCTCTCTCTCAGACTCCTTCTTTCCCTTTACCTCCCTGGTTCCTTTGAATTTTCCTGGCTCCTGCAGTTATATCACCTGCAGTTACATCTGGCTATACACTCACATATAAGGGTTTAGTGTTAGAATCCACAAATGAGGGAGAACATACATCATTTGTTTTCTGAGTCTGTGTTACTTCACTTAATATAACAGTTTAAAGTTCGATCCATTTACCTACAAATTTCATGATTTTGTCTTTCTTTACCACTGAGTAGACCTCCATTGTGTAAATATACCGCATTTTCATTATGCACTTGTAAGTTGAGGGACACCTAGGTTGCTTCAATTTCTTAGTTATTGTGAAAAGAACAGAAACAAAATGGGTGTATATTTTATTTTATGTCTTGCTAGGTAAGCACTGAATGATCTATAAAACCTGGGCTGTTTGCCAGATTTCAAAGACCAGCTGGCTAGAGCAAGCAGGATGATCGTGTATGTGTGTGTGTGTGTGTGTGTGTGTGTGTGTGTGTGTGTACAAACATTGTAATTGGAAACACTCTTTGTTGCTTTTTAAAAAATATTTTATTTATTCATTAATTTTATTTTATGTGGATGAGTGTATTGCCTGTATGTATGTAAGTGCACCCATGGGGTGCAATGCCTGCAGATGTCAAAAGAGGGTGTTGGCTCCCCTGGAACTGGAGTTACACACAATTGTAGATATCATGTGGTTGCTGGGATCTGAACCCAGGTACTCTGCAAGAGCATCCAGTGCTCTTAACCACTGAGCCATCTTTCCAGCTCAGTCTTTGTTCTCTTATTAGGAGGACCACCTAGATCATTCCATGTAAACAGAGATGAATAGAGCTTTTTATTAGAGTATTCTTTAAGATCAAATTTCATTCCTGGGTAAAAGAGAGGATCCCCAGCTCAGACCAGTCTTTTCAGACTGGATCATGTCCACAGACTGAATCTAACTATAACTAGTCCATAACCTCATAAAAGTTCCCTTCCACTTGTCTGAGTACTAATAAACATGTCTTTTTAACTTCAGTTTTCCAGAAATTTCACTGCAGGCAAAACCCATGGTCTTGGGGAAGAACTCATGACTATATCTTGGGTGGTAACATGCTGTTGAGGTATTGGTTGCCCAGTTCTGCTTGGTATCAACATTGGTCTGGTCTAGTGAGGAGAACATACTCTTTAGGTTCCTTGAATGGACTTGTCTAACACACAGCCCTTCCCTCCTTATCTTTGGCCTATGAACTGACAACATGATTCAGTTGGGTCATCTTCCTGAAGTATTAGGCAAGGCAGGTGGCTGCTGGCCACTGTTATCTGACAGTCATATGACTCAGGTTCTGTTCCTGATTTTGAGATGAAGTTATTCTGTGATTTTAGGCATCCCCTCTCATGTCTGGTACTTAAATTCCATTAAGCAACAGGAAAAGCATTGGGTTGTGCTTCATGTTACTGTGTTAGAGCTACCATAGCATGATATCACAGACTTGGAGGGGAGGCAGGTGGGACATAGATCATTAACGTTCTTTTGTTTATAAAGGCTGATCATCCAAGCTCTAGGTGAAAGCAGGGGCTGGCTTTCTCTCAGACCTCTTCCCTTTCTCTGCAGGAGGGTGCCCCCTTCAGGCCTCTACATGTCATGCACACTTTATGCACACTTTCCTGAGGTGTCACTGTGCATGTCCTACATTCCTCTGATGATGACATCAATCAGACAAGATTAGTGTCCACCATCATGGCTTTATTTTATGGTTCTAACCTCTTCATGGACTTAGGGACAAACACAATCACATTATAAGGTTTGAGATTAGAGTTTCCACGTATGAATTATTGGCATGAACATATCAAACCTTTGTAAACACACGTATGATTCAACCTCCGAACTATGGGTCTTTCATCTTACTTTGCGTTTTCTGCAACGCAGACTTGAGACTCAAGCACTCAAGGAGAAGTTTATTTGGAGAGATGCAGGGAATGGCGATGGGAATAATGAGAGGGAGAAAGGAGAAAGTGATCAGTGAATGGGTGATTATGCAGTCAGCTAGCACCATGGGTGACCAGAGTCAATGGCAGGAGAAGAAGCTGGGCAAAGAATGTGTCCAGCAGAGAGGAAAAACTGAGGTACTTACATGTCAATTCTAAGTAGTCACTGGAGTGAGAGTCACCCCAGGGGGCGGGGGACTCTGGAACCCTAGAACAATGGCCTGTCATGCAGGCAGCAGCACTGCTTCCCCTCAAGAATATTCTTAACTAGCTGGGTATGGTGGCACAGGTCTTAATCTCAGCACTCAGGAGGCAGGGGCAGGTGGATCTAAGTAACAAGTTTTGGGTTAGCTGGGGCTATGGGTGACCTTATTTCAAAACACAACAGACGGAACAAAATCCCTAACAGAGATAGGAGCTTCTGGGGTGGAAATCACTCAGGAACACTGGAGTTGTAGGACTCCAGGATGACATCCAACCACCAACAGCATCTAAGGTATCATTCTCATCATGAGTTTTATAAAGAGCCTCTGGGAGTGAGTTTTCACACTCCAGATTATGTGAGAGACTAGAGACCAAATTAACAAAGTCCCCTATGGTAGAATATATAAAATATTTGTATTCTGTCTGTATTTGTTAGGGACAGTTATCCCAAAATAAATAATGACTCAAACCTTGTCATTTATTTCTTGGTCCCAAGACAGCAAAACACTCTTGTAGATCATAGGGCAGTTGTTGATCAGGTACTGATCAGGGACTAGGAACCTGCCATCTTGTATTTTCTTTATCTCTTAAACTTCACAACTGTTGTGTCTAGTTGGTTGTAGGGGAAAACCCTATATGGAGAAGGCTCAGCTGTCTCCTAACTGCAGTGGTCTGGGACATCCTTCCTCCTGATGTCCCTCCTACTCCATTAGCAATAACTAACTTCATGTCTCCAGTTAAACGCCAGCATTTCTGGAGCTTACGACTCTTCTCTGAGCTCGGCTTTCCTAGCAAGATGTCTACTCTGTCAAAAAGAAAAAGTTTCAGTGTTCCTCTGTCACTGAGCCACTGTATCTTCCTGGAACCATAAGGCTTTTGTTTCTAACCACTTGTCTCCCCTCTGCCCTCATTGCTTCATAGAGAACTCTGTACTTGTTCACCATGGAGACCTGGAAGACATAGAAGAGAGGCCAGTAGAAGAGAGGCCAGTAGAAAGGCTTGTGTGGGTACTTTGATTAGGAAAAGTGGAAGAAATCTCAGGGAAGAGAAGATGCCTCAGCTTTCCCACAGTTCAGTCATGTGTGTGCTTTGCACACTCAAAAGTTTGGCATGATGACACATTGGTTATGAATATAGCTCTCCAGTCACACAAGTTCTGTGCAGTCTCAGTTTTTCCATTTATGTGAGGTACAATCTTGAGCCAGTCCCTCAGCCACACTGAGCCTTAGGATCCACTAGTGTGAACCATGGGGTTATTCTAAATATTATTGTCCTGTCCACAAAATGCCAAGTATAGGGTTTGCTAACTGTAAGCTCTCAAGAAATACTTGTCAAGGGATGTAGGGGTGGAAAAAATAGAAAATGCAAATAAATAAAACACGTTAGAGTCAAGACATGGATGGTGTAATACTAGTTGGATATAAAACATACAGAATATTTACATGTAAATGATGATGCCTGTTATCATTAAAATGTGATCATGTAATACATAACTATGTTTAAAATCTCTATTTCTCTATTTTATGGAACCATAATTCACTTAGATTATCCCTTTTAAACTGTACAATTGAGACAATTTTTGCACATTTAAAAATATGTACCGTATACGTACATTGCCACCAACCTAGCAGAGTATGTTTTCATCAGAGCATGTTTGTTCTAAAAGAAAATCAGAAACCAGATAATGTCCACCTCTACCTTGAGTGACTATATGACATTTACTTATCCAGCTGTACCAGACTGATATGAAATAAATCCCTATCTGAGGGCATTTGATGAATCCATGAAGAATATTTGAGCAACTTCCTTGAGCCCCCAGACTTGGTAAATGAGCCTCTCCCAGCTGCAGCCACTCTGTACCTGTCTATGTTGAAGTTTTTCCACGCACTACAATCTCTTTCTGTCCTCGTAAGTGTTTTGGTGAATATTTGAAATATGCATGAATCAATAAATAGGTGGATGATTAAAGACACGAATTTTGGAGAAATGGAATTCATTTGCTCTAAGAATATTCTGTACTTAAATCCTTACTCTAAAAGCTAGTAAACTGCCTAATCTTGGTTGTGTGTGACACCAGACAAGACCCCTGGGCAGGAATATTGCAAAGCTAATTTAGACTTCACTAAGATATTTAAGGATGATATTTAAGAATGCTACCTTGAATGTCTAAAACTTGAAACCACAGATGATAGAGGGAGATGATTTAACCCCTCTGGTGAGTGTCTGTGGGACTGTGGGGGGGGGGAATCCAAAATTTTCAGTTTGTAATAAGGACCCCTCACCCAAGCTTTGCCTTGCCTGAAGGCACTTGCCTGAGCTTGAGAAGCTCACAGAGCACTGAAGTGAGAGGGTTAAAAGGAGAACTGTTTATGTAAGAAGTTGTTAGCTGTGCTTCTGGCCATCTGTAATCTGAGAGCTGGGTACTGACTGTTCACATCAATGGCCGCAACCCCTAGGTGGGTGAACTTTCAGATGAAGCAAGGTGAACTCTTTGGAGGTGTGACTTGGAAATGCACAGAAGGCCCTGGGAACTTTTTGGATGAAGGAGAAGAGGGAGAGGTGGTTCCCACCCCACCCCCCGGATTTTGTAATTGGGCTTTATGTGCTGGATTCTAGTGCATTCTGCTTTCTTCCAGATCAGAGCCAAAACCTTCACTGACCTGTGAGCCTGTCCTCCACGATGCACCTCTGTGCTCTGGTCCTGGTGTCTTTAGTAGCCTGTATAGCTTGGGGTGAATACTTTTGAAATAAAAGTATTGGGGACCACTTTTCAAACTAGTTGGGGAGATGTATATAGGGAAAAAGCAAGACAGATCCAATTTTGCAGTGGAATTCACTCTCTAGACTTTGTTTTCCTGTGAAGTGGCCCAGACCAGGGTAGCTCTGGGAATAGATACACCATGACAGTTCCATGATCACCTCTAAGTTAAAGAAACAGGCACAAATGAAATTCCTGTTAGTATATGGCTATAGCATTGAGTTTCAATGCTTATCTGTATCATTTTATCAACTTAGATATTGAGATGTATGGGCTGGAGAGATGGCTCAGTGGTTGAGAGCACTGGCTGCTTTTCCAGAGGACCTTGGTTCAATTCCCAGCACCCACATGTTAGCTAATAATCATCTGTACCTTCAATTCCAGAGGATCCGATGCCTTCTTCTGACCTCCATGGGCGTTGTCTGACACAGGTGCACTTACATATGTGCAGGCGATATACTCATACACACAAAATAAAAATAATAAATAAAAATACTTTTTAAAATTGAGACTTACAGGGGCAGGTAATCTCCCAAGGTCATCTTGAGGATCTTTCCTGGCCTATCTATGGCCCTAAATCTGAAGTTAGTGCTCAGCTATCAGTGCCCTGAAAGCCTTGCTCTGTCTGGAGTTTATCATTTCTCTGGACATGTAACACTGGGATCGGTGTGCAAACGAGTGTAAGCCAGAGTAAGAAGGGGTCAAATTTGGAGGGGAACATTCTTTTGCTGCTGATTCCCCTGGAAATGACACCCTATTACCATCTTTAGGAGCTCCACACGCTCCTTCTGAATTCTGTTTCTTTCTCTGTTAAGTGGACATATTAATAATTACCTAACAAGATACTTTGTATGAATATTTTAAAAGAACTGGAATGCACATCTGGCATTCACTAGGTGTCCAATATAGGTGCATTCCATATAACGTACGTGATATCTATTCTTTATAATATTCTGATGTCTCTCTCCCCCTGTATCCAAACACATTATACTTGGGGTTATCTGGGTGAAAGTTCATCTCTGAGTGAATACAGCACAGCAAAAGGATTTTACCCTCCTTTGCCTCTTGGAAGCACTCAGCACTCGTTAAGTCCCCCTTCTTTAATCCGCAGGCCTCCGTGCTGTGTGCCCTTCTCCTGCCACCACTCTGGTGGGGTTCCCACTCAGCTCTGCCTGTTTATTATTTTAAAAAATCTTCCTCTTGTCTTTCATCGCCGCCTAGTGGAGTCACATGCACCCACACTGTGTTCTCAAGTGGGTGACTCCATCTGCCCCTTTGTGACCTCCTTTCAGAAGGGAGGATTATTTGAGGGTAGGAAGGAGACCAAAAAAGAGAGAGGGTGGGAAATGGAGAGCAAGGATGTATAACTATATATATGTAAAATGTCATATTAAAACCTGTCACTTGTATGCTAACTTAAAAATTAATTTAAAAAATATAACATGGACCTAAAAATGGATATCGTAGTGAATAGCTAAGTTAAAAACTAATGTCATGCATTTTTTTCCTGTTACATATGAAACAGAAAAGTTTCAATCCTCAGCTGAGGAGACTAAACTCACAGGCACATCAGGAGTTGGGGCTTCAATTTTTTCCAAGTTACTTGCCTATTGCAGAAAATGCCAGGCATTTTGGTAAATGAAGAATAAATGCATGGATGATAGACAGGTGGTTACACTGTGGAGCAGTAGAGTTGGTTTATTGTAGGAATGTTGTGTCCCCAAATCCCTGCTCTTCAAGGTAGTGAGCACACTGAAAAGGATGTGTGTAGAGGCAGGTAGGGACAATTGCCAGGAATATTGTAAAGGCAATTTAGGCATCAGAGGGCACTGGATGAAGTAGGAAATATCTTCCAAACATGAGCGCCTAGAACTCTGAGATACATAGATCCATGGATGCTAAGGGATATGTTCAAATTCCAAAGCTGAGAAGTTAAGAGGCTTTGAGTGTCTCTGAAAGTCCCTGACTTTTATGGAGAGGCTTTTTCTTAGGACACAGATCTTAAAGCATCTGCCTGCTGCCTTGGCCCTTGAGAAGTTCACAGTGCACTGAGCTTAGATTGCTCTAGGGAGCAACCTGTAGGTTAGAAGTCACAAGATGACTGTATATCTCTATAATCTGAAAGTTGAAATACGATAGTAATCTAAGAGTTGGATAATCACTGCTCAAAAAAAAAAAAGTAAACTGTATGTGGGTATGTCTTTATGGTCATGCAGGGAGGTCTTGGGACAGCAGAGAGATTTTCTGTTCTTTTAGCTGGTATAGTTTGTCTCAATGGGAAGGACTTCAGAGACAGAATGCAGGGATGAATCTGGGTTCAGTACCTTTATTGATGTGTTCTCTAGAGCAAGGTACTTAAATAGGTAGTGCCTGGATGACTCCATCTTTAAAATTGGGATGAGAGGCAGCATCCAACTCACTGGGCTGCAGTGAGGGTAGAGTGTAGGCTGTATCTGCCACACTTGGTTTGTGCCTGCTCGAGAGAAGGAGTGAAAAGAGGTAGATGAATGGGTTGATTAAAATGGGGTATATTGATAGAAAACTGGATGCATGGTAAAAGCATACTAGCAACTCTTGGCCATTGCGAAGATGATTTATTTGTCATAATTCCCAAGATTAGGAAACTCTTCTAGGATGCTTGCAATTCCTGTTTCCTTGTTTACAATATACCCTTGATAATGACTATCTAACAAGGTAGTTTTTTGAGGAATAAAAGAACTGGGATGCACACCTGGCACACAGTAGGTGATCATAAGGTACTCTCCATATCATGGCATCCTTGTGTGACCCCCCACATCTCATGTGTCCATTTCTCTGCCCAGAGCAATCTAGCTTCTACCTCTCCACCTGGGTGGAAAGTCATCACTGAGTTAACTCAGGCCAGACCTAGTGATTTCAGCTCAGACTTTGCCTTCCTAACCTCAGCCCCCTTGCCAGCCACCCCCCTTTCCCCATGCTTCTGGGGTGATGTTTCCTACCTTCTCCAGCTGCCCTCTGCTGTAGCTATCCCTGGGTTTTAACTTTATATTTTTCTCTTTCTTCACATTGTCCCCTGGAGTGAAGCCATACATACATTGTACATACACTCATCTTCAGATGCTTAACCTTGCCCATTTCTCATGGACCACCTTCCAGTATTAAAAATACCCATGTCTGGTGGCATCTTCATACTAGGAAATTTCCCGACTGTACCTGTCTCACAAACCAGCAACACATACCTACTCTTTAGTCCTCATTCTCTTCCATGGACCCCATATCTATTCAAGGACCAAGTCTTCCTTTGTAGTTCTTCTTATGTTGGGGCTGAAGAGAAGGCACTGCAGTTAAAGAGCACTTAATAGTTCTTCTAGAGGACTCAGGTTCAGTTCTCAGCACCCATAACAACAGTCTGTCACTCCAGTTCGAGAGGATCTGTCTCCTTCTTCTGGTCTATTCAGGCATTGCACACATGGAGGCAGCACACTCATACACATAAAAATAAAGAAATCAATGAAATGCTTCATCTAGATGTCTATATTTATGCATGATTTTTCCTAGCCATAAGAGGGTCTAATCTAGTACAATCAGCACCTCTATGTGTGAGCATCTCATTATACATGCTTCTCAGCAAAGACATCTCAGTGGACCTGGGAAGAATAAAAGTGAAACAAGAAGCGATTTGCTCTTAAAAACTCAGAAAATGGGCAAGATTTCATATCCTGGCTTTCCTCAGTTTCCAGTGTAATGTCTGTTCTTGATATACAGATGTTCTCTAACTTACAATGGGGTTACTCTATTGATAAACTCGTGGTCTTCAAGTAAAAAAATGTCAGAACATCCTGAATTGGAAACTATCTGTACATATCTTCCAGAAAGTTCATCTTGATGATATTTGTAAAATTAAATTAACAATAATAAAAGCAACCTACATATATACATACAGTATGGAATTGGTTATTGATAGTCACCAAAACTGGAGTCCCTTTTATTTTTAAAATCTATTTATTTATTTTTGATCTTTTTGAGAGAGGGTCTCCCTATAGCCACAGCTGACCTAGAACTCACTATTTAGGCCAGGCTAGACTTGATCTCATAGAGACTAAAGACGTGTGCCACCACACCTGGCTTTTAGACTCCCTTTTAGACTTCTGTGCTTTGTTGACAATTTTTTGTAAGCTCAACTCTAGAATATTATCTTTTGTCCACACAGTTTTCATTAAATTGTCTGCTGCAAAGGGGTCAGTTGGAGAATCAGAGATGAGGATCCTACCCTGAGAGGGATGCTCCGACAAAATGATGCTTTTGAGGGCAAACAAGAGATGTCAAGGGTGGCTATGACCATCCACTTGGAGGAGCGTCAGGTGGTTGACTCAAGTCTCACAGCAGGTAGATTGAAGAGACGTAAGGAGCTGAGGAAGGCCTATCTTCTTTGCAAGGATGGAGCCAATGTTCAGACCAGAGGCTGATGCCTCATCTCTCTCCCTCTCAGTAATCATGCTCAGACCATTACTGTGTTCTTGATTCCAGAACTTTTTATCCTACTTATTTGTCCACTAAATAAAGCTAGATCCTTTGGCTAGACACTCTGTGTCCCCCTTGACATCTTATTCAAGATTATAGCCCACTCTCCTTCTGCTGTACCTGGCAGTATTCAAATTCCATTTGCTCTTCCAAAAAGACCCTGTGTTACTTGTCTCTGCGCCTCTGCAGTTTATGCTTGCTGCTGCCTACCTTCCAGTTTCTTCCCTTACTCATTCCTCCCTTTGTTGAAGTCCCAGTTCTTCCTTGATGACACCAATCAGAAGGCCTCATTCCTTCTGTGCTGGATAGCTTTAGTGTCAACTTGACACACCTGGGTTGAGGGAGCCTCAATCGGGAAATTGCCTCTATTGGACTGGCCTGTGGCCATGTCTGAAGGGCATCTTCTTGATGAGTGATGTGGGAGGGCCCAGTCCACTGTGGGTGGTGCCACCCCTGGGCAGGTGGGCCCGTGTTGCATAAGAAAGCAGGCTGAGCAGGGGCCAGGGGAGCAAGCCTGTAAGCAGCGTTCCTCCATGGCCTGTGCTCCAGCTCCTGCCTCCAGGTTCTTGCCCTGAGTTCCTACCTTGGGCTCCCTGATGAACTGCGACCTGGGAGTTGTAAGACAAATAAACCCTTTCCTCCCCAAGTTGGTACTGGTCAGAGTGTTTTGTCACAGCAATAGAGAACAAACTAAGACACCTTCCAACTTCAGGGTCCCCTTCTTATACCTCTCTGGAGTCACAATCTCTTATAAAAATTAAGTTAAGTGTTTCTGTGGTTCTTTTCCTATGGGGCCAGCTTTCCTGAATCACGGGGCCTCCTTGCTCATCTTGTCAGCCATCCTGCAGCTCAGCACCAAAATCCTAATAAGTTATGTTTGCAGAGGCGTCTAAGAGGGAACCCAGAGATCTTGTTCATTCCCAACAGTATTTTTTCAACTACATATAAAAGCTGAACCTGCCATGTGTGGTGGTGTACATCTTTAATCCCAGCACTCAGGAAGAAGAGGCAGGTGGATCCCTGTGAGCTTGAGGCCAGCCTGATGCTCCATAGTGAGTTACAGGCCAGCTGTGGCTACAGAGAGACCCTGTCTCATAAAAACCACATGCATACAAACATGGCGGGTGCTTTTACGCCTTCAGCTCCAATTTACTCCTTCTGTCATGAGTTTTCCTCACCTTTATTTTAGATTTAAAAAGATACACTGGAAAGTGACAAAGCCTACCTGGAATGCAGGTCTGACCTTTCTTATCCGATATGTCTACATGTTCTCCTGTTCAACAGGACACCTGCCCTCACCACCCGTAGTGGATACTGTGCATGGAAAAGTCCTGGGGAAGTACGTCAGCTTAGAAGGATTCACACAGCCTGTGGCCATTTTCCTGGGCGTCCCCTTTGCCAAACCTCCTCTTGGATCCCTGAGGTTTGCTCCACCACAGCCTGCAGAGCCATGGAGCTTTGTGAAGAATGCCACCTCCTACCCTCCCATGTAAGACACTGGGGTGAGCTTTTGGGCCTGTATCAGTGGGACCTCTGTCTCAGAATGATGCAGGGAAGAGTCAAGAAAATGCTCTGATCTGCTATACTTTATTCTAGAGTCTTCAGGAATACTGCAGAAACATTCCAGAACTATTCCAGCTTTCTGGAGTCATATACTGGCTGGACTCTTGGTGCATAAATACTGAGCATCTGTTATAAGACAAGCATGTTCTAAGTTCTACGAAACCTGTTAGGAAACAAATATTCCTACTCTCATGGAGGTTTTATATAATAGGAGGAGAACGATAATTCACTATATGTAAATTAGCAAAGAACGTATATATTTTGTTAGAACATGCTAGCGTTTCAGAAAAACTCCTTTAGTCAGTGTGGGGACTATTTACTCATGCTCTGCATTGTCATGCCTTGAACCTTGGAATTGCTCAGGAATGACCTGTGCTGCCTCGTGTTGGTGAAGGATACGGTGATGATGTGCTTAGCTAGTTACAACCTCAGCAGTATTTTGGGTGGGTGCCCTAGTTGTTAAGTAGACTGAGTGAAGGATCCCAAACAATCTAGGCCTCACAACCACCACCAGGGCATCTCAGATACTTGTACCTGTCAGTTCAATCAACACTCTCAGCAGCCTACTTCTGATAATGTCCAGGATCCTGTCTCTGGCTATCTTCCTACTGTTTTATTTCTTCTAAAATTAGTATTTCCTGTTTTTATATTTTTATTTCAAATGTAATACATGTTGTGAAAAATTTCAGAGAAGCAAAGGTGAGTAAATTAAAATAATTTGTAATTCAAATACTGAGAGTTGCTCTTAAGATTGTCAATCATGTTTCTCCATCTGCTGTCTCCTACATGCCTCCTTCTTTGAAAATGGATCATAAATATCGAGAGTTTGGGCCACTGCCTCGTACATTCACAACATCAACATCATACATCATTAACTATTAGAGTGCAACTTTGAACAGCTGTGTATAATCGACACTTAACTGTAATATATCCAGTATCTTACTTGGAGACATCAAATTGTTTTTCATATTCTTGACATTAAATGAAATTACAGCTAAATCGTGACACACATCCATGAATAGTTTAGGATGATGTCCCAGAAATGATGCTTCTGAGACAGAGTGTTTAACCTTTGTTAACCATGTCTCCAGAAATTTCCAACTATACACACTCCTTCCACAGAAACATGAAATGATATGTTCAGCAGACCCTTGCCAATGCTTACGCTTGTTACTGGAATGTTCTCATGTATCAAAATAGCAAAATGATAATACAACAATCATAGTAATAAAATCATAATTTTGCTCTGCACAAGTCTCTGAATACTAGCAAAGTTGAACTCTTCCCACATTTAGAACTACAAATTTCTATTTCTATTTTGATAAATACTATGTCTCGTGTTCTTGTGATCTAAGAAAATGTCCCCATAACAGAGATATGGAAGTCCTCCTTGCTAGCCCTATTTTTTGCCACTAGACAGGTTTGTCTTTCTGAGACTTGAAAGTCTCAATTTCCCCTTGCATATACCACGTCCAGCGAAGCTTAGCCTTCCCAGTGAAGAGGGATCTGGAAATGTTGCTTATAATGTACATGGAAATCTGACTACTATCTTCCTAAATAACTGTCTTGCCCAATTGTCTTTCCTCTGCTCTTTAGAGTCTTCATCTGTAAAATGAGACTAATTGTCTGCCAATGGAAATCATTTTCTTGGTTTATGGAAGTTCCCCAAGGACTAAAGCATGTTTACCTAGTGGAGAAGCATGGTCACCCTGCATCCCACTATGGGAAGCCTAGCAAAGGGCAGCACCCTGTATAGGACGTGAGGAGACGTCATCACCCAGGGTAGGCCAGCATATGAGTGCTTCTTTCCTGGACTGGGAGCATCCCAAGGGCTCAGGGAAGGATAAAGCTATCAAGTCCTTCTTCTGTATGGTTGGAAGACTCTAATGAGTCTTATGGCTCCCATTAGAACCTCATGAAACTCTCTTAGCCTTGATACCAGCTGTACAGCCTCAAACCTCCCAGGGCCAGGTTGAGCCACAAGCGACGTGTCCAGATTCTCTCTGGTGAAACTTCAGGTGTTCTCTCTCCCCTCCCAGGTGTTCCCAAGACCCAGTGGCAGGACAGATGCTCTCAGAGCTTGTTACCACAGAAATGAGAGCATTCCTCTCAATTTTTCTGAAGACTGTCTCTACCTAAATATTTATACTTCTGCTGACCTTACGAAGAACAGCAGGCTGCCGGTAAGAGTGGGGAACCACGGATACTGAAGTCTGTGTCCCCGTGTGTAAATTGCTTTATGCATGCAGAAGGGGCTGAAGACACCTGGGGGCAGGAGTCCACAGACCAGGACTGATTTAGGGACCCAAAGCCTCCATTAACCACTGCAACAACAATGCTTCCTTGCCTGTTTGCCCCAGTGACATCCAGCTGGTGGAGGTTGCCTTGTGTCTGGGATGCATTTCTTAATCTTCCAGATTCTCTTCTACATATAAAAGCAGGATGATAATGAGCATTCTTAGAGTGAGAATCTGATCTGTAGAGTAGATAATAATTTTCAACGAACTTAAGATGAAAAGAGACAGAATTTGAACCTACAGGGCTGCTTACATGGTTGTAATTGAGTTTATGCTGGGGGGATTTGAGGCTCACCGTGGACAGGCAGGGCCATAACATGGGTCCTTTGATCTTTTGTACTCTTTGATATGGATTAGGAAAGAGACTGTCATGCCACCATTCCATCCACAGCACCCATAGGAACACCCATAGTTGACCTGTGACAAAGGTATGAGGGGAGGAGACTGGGCCAATCTCAGAAGCACTTTCTTTTGCTCTTTGTCAATAGTCCTGGATTTTATTGTAGGTCATTTCTGTTGGTAACTGCTTTTGGCACAGGCTGATGAGTGAATGAGTCAGCATTATTCCATATAAATGAAATGAGGAGGCTGCCATTTGTAAACTGCTGAGAAAAGAGGAAATTCCTGGAGTATATGAGCCTGAATGTTAGCACCCTGCCAGTGACCCTGGAGCACTGTGGCATGGGGCCCAAGTACAGGGAGAGAAATTGTTCTTAGTGCTCAGGACAGTTCTTGGTTCACAGTACCTAGTACAGTTTCTTTTCATGAACAGTATTTTCACAGTATTATTTTACACGCTGTCGTTCCTTCTCTAATCTATGCTCTTCAAAAACATGAATTGTGGATTATCTTACATCATCTTATCTTCAAGTCTCATCGGAGTTCCTGGTACACAGAAGGTTCTTAGATAATGTTAGGCAAATGATTGACAGCATTCTAGAGGAGGAGGGGGTGCTCTGGACTTAGCCTGAAGGATTTGAGTGTACAGAGGAGAAATGACTCAGCTATTAAGAGCACTGGCTGCTCTTGCAGAAGACCCAGGTTCAATTCCCAGAATCCACATGAAGGCTAGCAACTGTCAATAACTCCAGTTCCAGGGGATCTGATGCCTTCTTTTGACCTCTGTCAGCATTCACATGATGCAATGCAAGTAATACATTCATAAAATAAAAAATAATAAAATATGTTTTGAAAAAATAAAAAGGAAATGACTGAGGTGAGATAAAGTTGAAATACAAGATCTACTTCTGGTCTAGGCATGAGAAATTTGGGGAAAATATGACATCCTTGGCCTTTGTTGTTCCATGGTGATCTCGGTTTTGAAGCGCTTTAGAAGGATGTGAGACGTAAGAGAGGCAGAGGTCACTGTCTTGCATTATGTCTTGGGCTCTAGATGGGAGAGTTGGGAAGGGGACAGACTGCCTATTGGGCACTGGTGTGTGGTTGAGTGATCAAGGATGAGCTCCTTGATCATAGTGTAGAAGCTAACTGACCAAAACAGAAAACCCCTACAGTCTTCTCCATGCTGTACTCTATGACCTGTGTGGCTGTGTCCTTTTCCAGGTGATGGTGTGGATCCATGGGGGTGGACTGGTGACAGGTGGGGCATCAACCTACGATGGACTGCCTCTCTCTGTCCATGAAAATGTGGTAGTAGTGGTCATTCAATACCGCCTGGGCATCTGGGGCTTCCTCAGGTAAGCATTGGACTCTTTTCTGCACATTAGCTCCTGAATTGATCTGTTTGATGTTAATACAACTAAGGGCTTGAGGCTAGGTTATTATGTAGAATTTAATTTATTTAGTTCAGAGTTTGAGAGGCTGAATTTTTATCAATTCTGCTCTGCACTGGACCGTTGGGACCTCTTATCAGAGCAGCAAACAGTGATTGTTGGGATAGGAGAATTCTAGAACCTTAACAGGCCAGGGCAGCAAGGACCTGTGTGTTTTATCAGAAGAGCCTCTAATGAGAGCCCTTGGCTGTATCATAACACTGGGAAGAACCAAAAATGGAATAAGAACATGCAGACAGATCAACAAGGTGAAGCAAGAAGCCAGGAAACAGAAAGGGGGACAGTCTCTTTTTATAACAAGTCACTAGGGAACCAATCAGGGTCATAGAAGAGCTATATCAGTTCCTTCCCAGAGCTGCATCTCTAATGATCAATAACCTCCTGCTAGGCCTCACTTTTCACAGGTTCTCTCACTGCCAACTATTACCACATTGCAGACCAAGACACCTACACTCAGCCCTTGATGAGCAAACCGTGTGTGATATATACCAATCAATTCTCTCCCTCGCTACAAAGCCCCATGTCTCCATGCAGATTATCGTGATAACTTACTACAAAATATTAGCATAGTTAATGCTATAGAGTGGCCAGAGTACTCTGTGGGATATGTATTGAGTCCTGCCATGCCTCTACATGATGCTTCCAGGTTATTTACAAGGACACAGAATTTGTCATCAAGACCCATAGCACCTGCTCCACTGTATCTCACACCAGCTGCATTCACACTTTTGTTCCTGTGGTCATGGAGCCTTTCACATTCTCTTTCTTCTATCTACAGTTCCCTTCTTTGGATGCTTACAAGAACACATGCTCATTTTATTGAGATCTCTATTAAATGCTGCTGTCTACAAGAAGTCATTGCTTGTCATACCACCTGAAATACCATATCTAGAGCCCCACATTTACTTCTTTCTTTACATGATTTTCTTTGTACATAACGTATTATACTCTCCCTTTACCTGTTTGTGGTTTGTATAGGAGCCAACTGTAGGCAGACATTTCATCTGTTTTCTTCTGAGCTGTGCTCTATCTCTTAGATCAGAGTTGGATGCATCATGGATCCTCAGGACATAGTTGCTAGAAGATAAATGTAGAGCCCCACTTAGAACGTAACTGTAGAGATGAGAGGTAGAAGAAGACTCATGTCAGAAATACAGGGCTCAGCACCTTCTCAGAAGGTTCACTGAGACACCTAGCCCATGTCTGGTCCTGAGAATCCAGTTAAGACACCTGGTGTCTTAAACGACCCACTGTTGTCTTACAGCACTGGAGATGAACACAGCTGGGGGAACTGGGGTCACTTGGACCAGATAGCCGCACTGCGCTGGGTCCAAGACAACATTGCCAACTTTGGAGGGGACCCAGGATCTGTGACCATCTTTGGAGAGTCAGGAGGAGGTTTAAGTGTCTCTGTTCTTGTAAGTATTCCTGATACCAGGCCTCTTGTACAGACTTGAGGTGGCCACTAATGCAACATCTTGGAGACCAGCCAGTGCAGCCATCTGCACCTTTTTTTTTTTCAATAGCTGGATTCAGACTGAGTCTATTCATCACTCAGCATCAGAAGATAGAGGACTGAAGACTAAATTCCTCTTGGTGCCTAGGAATCTCAGAGCTTAGCTTTATGTCCTGGGCCATAAGAGACACCCGCTATGAACTGTACTCTGCCGTTCCTCCTCGTCATACTTAATTGAATTCTCTTTCTCTTTGCTCATCATTTTAACATTAGGACTTGCTTCTTTTGGAAAGGACTTTTGGGTTTAAACTACAATAAGAAACAGAAGCATATGAGTTGGATCAAGTGCCATCGCTGTGTTCTAGGCCATATCTACGCATTTAGGGACATTGAGCACCTAGGCTAGGCAGGAACGTCTGTTGAGTTGGCCAAGTGGCCCTTCCATGCCCAGAAGAGAGGGCAGCTGTCTCTGGGGCCAAGGGACAAGTTAAACTGGGGGAAGGGAGTGTAAAGAAGAAACTAAGCCTGGAATATGGAAAGAAGAGATCTGTGGTGAGATGTGGGTCACAGGCACACTGTGAATATGAAAATCACCTTCACAGTGTGGAGAATAGAACTGAGGGCATGGAAGGAAGCAATGTAAGACATTGGTGGCTGCTAGAACCTCCCACCTCCCTCAGAGTTGAGCAAAGGATCAGCTCATCACTCTGATGTTCAAACATGTTTTGGTTTCATAGTTTTATTATCAAAGGAAATGTTCATATGTTTTTCTTTAAGTAGAGAAAAAGGAAAAATATAAATAAAACCAAAGAATTTGAGTGTGATGGTGCACATCTATAGTCCCAGCACACAGGAGCCTGAGATAGGAAGATCACAGATTTAATACCAGCTTTGACTATAGAGCCCATTCAAGTCCAACCTGAGCTACATAGCAAATATTGCCAAAGAAATAACAAAACATAAGGTAAATAAACCCAAAGAAGAGAAGTTATCTACTGTCCCAGTACCCAGTAATAGTCAATGCATGTATTTGATGTGTATTTCTTTAGTCTTTGCATAGATTTATGTTTTACTATTTGTATTGTTTACAACCCATCCTTTCAATCCCTTATCCAAAATTCTCTCTATTGTATGTCTATATGAGGTTTTCATATATATTTTCTTTCCTTATAATGATATCATGACAAATATTTTCTTAAATAGCAAACTGTCATTGGCAACATTTCTTTTACAACTGGATAATATTCCGGGAGAAGAGTGAAATATTGTTACCCAATCTCAATAGAACCTTGGCTAGTTAATATATTTAACATTATAAACATTATGAACATTCTGACAAATTTTATGGGCATCTACATGGTTTTTCTTAGGATAGATTCTGAATAATGAGAATTATGAGACAGGATTTGTGGCTAGAAATGGCCAAACTGTCCTTCAAGTAGTTTTGATTGTCCTAATTGGCACTTCCCACACACTTCCTGTTCTGTCTCTTACTCTGTGCTCTGAGCTCATCTTGCTGAGGGACTCATAGGGAATGTGGTTCCAAACAGGTCTAAGATGCATGCTAGTAAAGATGAGGAACTTTCACGTCTACAGAGCACCAGAGTCACCAGGAGAATAGTCAGAGAAGAGGAGCAGGTGGAGGGAATCTTAAAGGGCAAGTGAGTCACTAACACCCCTGTACTCACTGGGGTGTCAACTCTCCTCCTGTTCTCCCCACTCCCAGGTTTTGTCTCCCCTGGCGAAGAACCTCTTCCACAGGGCCATTTCTGAGAGTAGCGTGGTTCTAAATCCTTGTATGTTTTGGGAAGATTCCAAGCCCATTGCTAAGGTAGGTGCCACCCTGGACAGCTCCTGTGCCCTTTCCTCTACTGTTCAGGTCATTGAGGGGGGCTTTAATTTTTTCTGTGGGATTCAACTAAGGTGCTCAAGGGATTCCTGAAGTGAGAGTGGCTGAGCATCCTGCAAGTTCTGAAGGATCCTCATATCAATCACATTATCCAGGCCTCGGGCCATTCTGCACACATTTCAGTGTATGGGAGACAAGGTCAGCTCCTATGTGTGTCAAATCTAATCACCACCTTCATCTATATTTGGAGAAAGTGAGGCACAAAGAGATCAAGTGGCTTGTCTATCATGACGTAGTAAGTGTTGGAGGTGGGATTTGAAAACCAAACATGGAATTCAAACAGCTTCTTTAGAAACATATAACTTAGAACATTATACCCCCCTTGTACTTCTAAGGACGAAATAGTGCCCATTTTGTTGGGAATAAGATAATAGAGACACACAGTGACACGTGTCACTGCTCCAATCAGGAACAGAGATTGTACTTGGTGGGAACCAGTACCCACACTTTCTAGTGTACTTTCAGTAACCCTCTGTTGTCTTCAGAAATAAGGTAAGGAATTGAACCACTGCCATCATTGATGGAGGGAAGGGGCATCATTCCTGCCTCTGTGTTGTCTATGATCTCCTACAGAAAATTGCTACCATTGCTGGCTGCAAAACCACCACATCAGCTGTCATGGTTCACTGCCTGCGCGAGAAGACAGAGGAGGAGCTCTTGGACACCACACTGAAAATGGTAGGTGTGCCCGTCATAGCGGCCCCTGCTCATGTATTTGTCCCAAGGTTTCATTCACTCAGTATTCCTCAAGTCCGAAACCAAGAAGAACAGTTTCTAAGTTCTCAGGAACAGTGTCGACTTTCTGATCTAAATTGAGATGTTCATTTTCCTTATTGTGAAATATCTCAAATGTAAAAAAGTCCAATAATAACATGGTGACAAACTGCTATTGATCTCCACATTCATTCATCGATCATCTTTCCATCAATACATTCATCCTTCTCACTATCCTGTTCATTAATTTTCATCAATCTAGTTGAGACCTCTAAATAACTTCTAATTAATCTATTTTCAATTTATTCATAATCCATGAATTACCTGCCTAACTAGTATCTACCTTCCTTCAGGCAATCCACCAAAGCAATGGTTAATCCTTTGCCTAGATACTAGTTTTCATCTATTTATCAATATCAGCATACTCATCCAACTGACCAACAGTGCTTTGATTGACCAATCCCATCTATCAATCTATCCATTCATGATAAATGTATGAAGGGGGTGTGAAAGGGAAGCAATGAAAATACAAATTGATCACTATCCCTGATCACATAGACTTATCCAAGAAAAAACATAGCCAAGTACCTATTGAGCTGAGTGTAGAAGACGCATTCGTTATAATCAGTAGGGTTATTCCTCAGAAAAAGGACATTTGAAGATTAGTGAATGGTCATGGGAATCTGCTGTCACTGAGAAGCATAGCACAACAAATATTGAGAGAAAAGCACATCCAGAGCATCTAGGGCCAAAGGAACTATTTCCTTTGTTGGGAAGGTATATGGATGTGAGCTCAAGAGTCACTTGTTTAATCCTTGTTTCCTTCAGGGCCATGGACACTGTAGGATATTTTGGATCCCATGGAATCCCTTTGGTACATGTATGGTCCCTGTATGCCTATAGCTTGTGTCCATGTGGACTTTTTTTATAATCCCTTTTTTATAATCTGGCTCAAATAAGGTGACCAAGGTGTTCAAACTATTAGGACACAGTTTTTTTTCTAACAATGACTAAAGGTCAAATCTAGCCATTCTCTATGTGTAAAGGAGGATTCAGCTTATGCAGAAATAGTTGATGACTTTGGGGGGAAACCCAGAGAATCTAAGATCCCAGGATATCTTAAAGTGTTCTAGGACCTTGTAGAAGTGCTTCCATGACTGTTTGCTGGCCTGATCATGCAAACATGTTAGTACATACATGTGTACAGATACACAGAACACATTTCTTGATGCATACAATAGAGGTATCTTAATAGTCGCTTCTCACATTCCACTGGGACCCGGTAGCCAAAGTGTCACACTGTAATCACTACTGTCTTGGTGAACACACAACAAAGAAAATCTGGGATTAGGATGAATCTCAGTGAGATTGTTGGAGTCGTGCTTTTCTGATCCTTCATGAGGCCACTCTGCAAGGTGTGTTGGAAGAAATTTTGGGGTAACTGAAATGTTCATGTATGAATGCTTGGAGTGTGGCTGTATCCAGATGCTTTGAGGCTGCTGTTGGGAATGTGCCGATCGCTGTTGCTCCTCTTTCCTTTCGTGTTTCTGGCTTCTCTTTGTAGCAGCTTCGTCCTCAGAAGTGGTAAAAGATCTCAGCATTCTAGGCTCACACTCCACTTGCTTAGAAGGCAACTCTTCAAAATTTCGGCAAATTTTAGGTCAAACTCAGTTGACTGACACTGTGATGAGGAAGGATGGTAGGGAAGGGGAAACAGGTTGGAAGGATTGTGAGAAAAGTGCTTTCCTGCTGTTTCATGCCAGCTTCAGCCTTAACTCCAAACCAGGTCTCTGCATGTTCCTACTCCAGTACGTTGACCTACTTCCCCTAGTCCCTGGAGGAGAAATTAGGGTGTTGCTGCCGGGGAGAGCAGGGAAAGGAAGAGAAAGAACAGTTACAGGCACAGCTGGCCTCTTCAAAGGCCCAGTGACCCTTATTCTGCATCCCAAGGTCTGTTTGCTGCTGCTGTGTTCCTTTATTTCTTCCCAACCATCTGTCCACACCCAGAGAACCTCGTGTAGGATCCTCTTACCCTGGGTCCAGTGGAGAAATCCTGTCACCTAGTACCTTTGATGCCTCAGCTCAAAACAGCAGTTTCTGTACACTGAAGATTTCTCACTACTGTCTCTACCTTTGCCTCTACAGAAATTTTCAGCTTTTGATTTTCATGGAGATCCCAGAGAGGTAAGGACTTTGGCTTTCTGGATTAATTGTGTTGAGTATTAACATTTAAGCTTTAGGGAAAGAATTCTCATTTGTAGAATCACACCATTCATACTTCTGAGGCTTAGAGAGGAGAAGTCACTTGCCAGGTAAAACAATCAGGAGGAACAGGGGCAAGATGGCTTCACTCCCTGTCCAGTGCGCCCAGACAGCAACTCTGTGTCCCTCAGGCTCACGTGCCCCCATCTAATGAGCATTTCCTTCTTCCAAAATGATGCTATGGGAAGAGGGTACACTAGAACCTTCCACTCCCTGGAGCCTCAGATGACTGATCCAGATGCCCTCATTGAGGAGCTCAGATCTCTTGGAAGAAGCTGATAAACTATGAGGGAGGAACCTGAGCTCTCAGTGCTAAGGACACCACCTTCCTCCCAGCACCCAAGAAACTCCAACAGTGCCCTCCAGCTCTTCCTTTCTGCTCCTCCAGCTCCCAGCAGTGGCCAGGCTCTGGTGCCATTAGCTGTGCAGCATCTACTGTCCTGTCCTCTCTGTTCCCTCCCTGGGATCCCAGCACTTCCTTGAAAGGTCATTTAAGAATGAAACGAGGAAAAGCATGTACTCTGTGGCTGGATGTTACTTAGGAACTGGGGCATGATAGTAAAATGGACAGGTTTCCCTGTCTTATTGAAGTTTCTATTCTAGTGGGGTACCTAGTAGGAAAATAAAGTACTAAACTTTCTGGTATACCTCATCATGGTCAGGGTCAAGGCAAAATTCAGTGGCAGATGGAGAGAGAATTTGCCAGTGGTTTCATACAAACAGCAGGATCAAGGGTCGTGTGTTATTCTGAGTCAGGCTCTGGAGAATGGAAGAAAACCAGCTGTCAGAGATTTAGAGGACGATTGTTTCTGCCAGAGAGAAGAGCAGCTACAAATGCCTGCTGCAAGAGGCCAGTGTGTGAAGTGGAGGCAGAGAGGGAGGAGCAGGTTTGAGACTGAGGTGGTAGCAAGTAGCAGTAGGGAGCCTGGTTGATGTCTGATGGACTTAGATTGTTATTCAGCACAAAAGTGGTTGTATTCAGAGGGTTATGCACAGAGCAGTGACATGGTAAGTTTATCAATGTCTCTGGCTACAATGTGGGGGAAAGATGGAGCATTAGAGATGCAGAGACCAACTGAAGGCCACTATGTGGCCGTAACACAGGCAAAACATGTGGGTGAATTACACCGGTATGAGTATTGAGGTGGCCACACATTGTTGGAGCCTGGGACCTTTGAAGGAATATCTGAGCAGGCCTTGCTATGGGTTGTGGGAAGAACTGAAGGAAGGGTGCCCTATACCCAAGCAGGCGATGCATCCAGCACCATAGTGCAGCCAGCAGTAACCCAGAGGGACATTGTCAATTGCTCAGGCTTTTAGGCTGGGAACTTCTTCTGGATACAGCTTTACTTGGGTTCTCTCGATCTTGTCTACCTCTAATATGCCTATGCAGTTCCATGTCCCCTGGTATTACCAGACACAAACTTATAAAAAACTAGGGATACCATGACATTTACCTTCATAAAAACCCAGCCTTGGTTACAAGACAAATCTCCTTACCTCCATGAGTTGGTCCTACAAAACATTCCTGAGGGTCAGGCATGTGCCAGCTGTTAGACAGACAGTATGCTTCACCTCTTACTCTCTTTATCCTGCTCTTAGTCATTCCTCCAAGCCCAGAGCTGTTTGACAACACCAGAATTGTCCCTGCACAGTGAGATCTCTATTCATTTGCTCATGCCCTGCTCAGTGTTTGGGAAGTATTCATGCCCAGAGCCCACTTCAGAGGATACAATTATCTTCTCTGTGTGGTCAGCATATTGGAGGAGAGTTTGGCCCTGATCTCCGTCTTTAACTTTTCTCATATGCAAAAATCAATTTTTAGTTTAGATACTTTGAGCGAAGTGCTCAATAGCTTTTCAAAGCAAATTATTATTCAAAAAATAGTTGAAGTTTACATAGACATAGATGGATATAATCCACTACATCCATGTCCTTAATCATGGATTCTGTATTTGGAAATTAGCTCATTTGCTAAAATGTGTTTGTAACCCTAAATCAGTACTTATGACACTGCTGTGGTCAGGTGTGCAGCACATGCAGAGTAGGAAACACTCGGGCTCCCACCTGAGGGCAAAGATAAAGCACTGTGTTCTCCTTCCCCCCTCACAACTCACACGAGCCTTTGTGGTCTATTTCATGCTATTTTTTAAAAAAACAATAATTTGTTGTTTTAAGTGACTTCTCTGTTTAAGATACTCTGGAGTGTAGTGACGACGAGCTGTCCAGTGCCCGAGCACAAGCGGCTGTGAGGAGCCGTACGAAGATGCATAGGACAGCTGAGGTTCCTCCAGGTTTCAGTTATGATGCCTTTGGTCATGAAGTCAGTGTTGATGAATCAACAACACAGTGTCTAAGACAGAGAGGAGATTTGCCTATTTGTGGGGGAGGAGTTTTGGAGAGTAGTCAAGTGATACCTCCAGCGTGTGAAAAAACTGTGGAAAAGACGGGAAAGCAGATACATTTGTAGATTTGTGAGTGATAAAATTTTAAAAACGTAATGTACAGCAAAGTTGTAAGGCAGAAGCCAAAAAAACTTAAATTATGTTACTTGGGGTCCAGAAAATATCAACCCTCTCCCAGGTGGTATTTTATTTATAAAAAAATCTAGATATACTTAATACATAGATAAACTGTGCTGTTTAATGCATCTTTCAATATAAATGGATGCATAAAGCAAGGGTGATGAATGTGTCCTGACCAGAGGCTCTCAGGACCTAACTCTGGAAACATTCTTGGCCAATGGTTCAGTATTTGCTAATTCAGGAGTCACTGAAACAGACATGACTATGACTAGTCTGAAATAATGTGTATATGTACATTTGCTATAAATTGACATATATGTCATATGATAAATACATGACTTGAATAAGTCCTTAACCCATTCCCGACCATCGGCACCTCACCACTGCTCTTTTCCCAGTCACAGTTCTGCCAATGACGACTCATAGACTTAACCCAATCAGGACCCTGAGTTTCTGTGGCCACAACCACAGTAGTCTACATGCAGGCTAAGCCCTCAGACAGGGAGAGAGTGGACACTGGCGTGCCTGGTCTGATCAATCACAAATAATAAATTTCTGTCTTCCCCAGAGCTATCCTTTCCTGCCTACAGTGATTGATGGAGTGGTGCTGCCAAAGGCACCAGAAGAGATTCTTGCTGAGAAAAATTTCAACACTGTCCCCTACATCATTGGAATCAACAAGCAAGAGGCTGGCTGGATCATGCCAATGGTGAGAACCTACAGCTTCTTAGATGCACCCACACACAGATCTTCAACCACCATGCCCTACTTCTATCATAGGCTCTTCCTATTCCCAGCCTCCCCTGAGTCCAGGGCAGCTGTCCCCATTGTCTTCAGTGGGTGGTTTACAGAAATATTCTCCCACATGGCCCAACTGTCTTATGGGAATTTCAGCCCTGGGAACCCACCCCCAAACACTACCTTTTCTGTCTTTTTTGTTCCAAAAGACAGTTTATATTTTTGATAGTAAGTTCACTTTCATATGTCCTCATTAAACTGTAACGTCATTGAGTAGAAGAACACCCCAGAGGAAGGTTCTCCAGAAGTCCAGTAGAATACATAAATTAGTGAGCACCATGTAGATTCATTTGTAATTTATTTTAAATGGCTTTTGAGAATTTTTCCTTTTTCAGTGAATTTTTTGAAATTCAAACAATATATTTTTATTGTGTTTAGATCCTTTCCCCATCTGCAACCCTTAAGTACCTCCTGCCCAGTTTCATGTACTATATTTTACACACACACACACACACACACACACACACACACAGGACCACTGAGTCTGGGAGAGCTTGTAGGTCTGGGGCACATGAAGATCCTAGGAACTTGAGCTTAAAGAATCCTGAAGTTCCTGAGCATGGAGGACTAGTAGAGATAATAACAATACAGAGGGCACGACCAAGGACATCTGGAAAGGAAAAGGAGCTGAGTTTAAGAAAGTCAGGCCGGGCCAGGACAACTTCTGTCTTGGATCTGAACTCACAGGCCCCACAGATGCCCAGATGTGATTTCATTTGTCCCAATGCAATGATCCAGAAAAGGTAACAGATTAACATTGGGTTCACAAGGGTGAGAAGGCTCTTTTAATATAACAAAGATACACAAAGACTGAAACTGATTAAACCAGTAAGTTTCATCTTATTCTGTAGTATGACTGCTGTAAGGAAAAGGGAAAGCCTGGCCTGAGTTCAGATCCCTGACAGGACTAGCTGAGGAGGTTTAAAGACTGGGTGAGCTCTGAGAGGCACTGTGGTGTGAGTTCATGAGGTTAGTGAATTTAACTCATGCTCACTTGTAAGAGGAATAGATTTCTCTCTCATAACAACCAGAAGCAAAGCCGTAAGATCAAGTAAGGTCCTTGCCAAAGTTAGTACTTTAGCCTCCGTAGAGACTGGTCAAGAGATCACGAGTTATCTCCTGAAATGTTTACGTTTTCAATATGTTGATAATGTAGCAAGAAGAGATTTTCTCTCAAGTCCTTGATACAATAATTTTGGTGGAGAATTTATATCTCATAGGGCAGAAAAAGCATTGATAATTGTAAGATTTCCAAAGTAACTGCCGCAAAAGAAAACTCCAGAGCCAATCTTCCTATCACCAAATTTAGGCTGGAGAGTGGCGGAATTTCTACTGAACGCAGTGAGCTTTCCCAGGCATTGTAGAGAGAGTGGTGTCATGCCAGAATATGCTTTAAATTGTTAAAAGTTGTGCTGAAGTCAGTCAAGTCTTGGAGAGGTTACATAGTTTTCCCTGAAGAATTTCAGAGGTCATAAAAATAAATCACAGCCATCATGGTTGATTTGGCCTTCTTCTGAGACTGTAGGGGAGGGTTTGTGTCCTCTATCCCTCTCGTTCTACGTTATTTTGGCATGAATATCATTTCACTGTCTGGAAGACTATTGTGTGTGATGTGCATATGTATTTTGTTTGTGTGGGTGTGTAGTGTGTGTATATATGTATATATACATGGACTTATAAGCATAGGCAGTACAAAGATGCTATTTTACAATACTATATATTATTTATAATATATAATCATGTACTACATATGTAT